AATAAAACAAAACAAAAAAAATTGAAAAAAAAATTTGAAAAATCTTCGATGAACCCATGAGCATATTTGTGAATTTCTTCAAAAATTAAATGTCTGTTTTTATTTTTTTTTTTGTCAAAAAAAATTCAGTTTTTATTTGCATTGAAAGAGTTTGAATCAAACGGCGACGTCCTTGTCGGCTCATCACTTCAGAAAAGGCCCTCGTTGGCGTTGGCACTCCATGGAGAGTCCGATCCAGGCGACGGTGGAAGTAGGCAAGAGTCAATGCGACGAGGACGGCAGTGTAGATGGCGTTCATGGTTGTGGATCGTTTGGATCTTGGAAAATTTGTTCTGGAAATTTTATTCTGGAAAATGCCTATTCATTAACGAGAAACTCCCGAAAAACATGTTTAGATTGCCTAAATTTTATTCCAGAGCCAGTTATGGCTTAAAATAAAACAAAAAAAAATTTTCAAAATTTTTGGGATCGGGAGAATCGAACCTACAACCTTCCTCCTCTGAACTTGCCATTTTACCACTTTACCACACTGCTGATTGAAATCTATTGTTTTAAAAGAAATACACTATTCCGTGAGAAAAATTTCACGAGAAATTGCTTAATCATAGGGAAACTTTTCTAGGTCATAACTCAGCTCACGTGAGCATTTTGCTGATTTTTTTAACAGATTTGGAATCTTCATAAGCTCTTCTATCTGCTCCCAAAATTTCAAAAAAAGTTAAAACTGCTCCCTCAAGTAACTCCCTTGAAAAATCGTTCTATTGATTCAAAACCAGCTTTCGAATTTCAAAAACCTAAAATCCATTTTTCTTGACTGTTAATTTTGGAGCTTTTGGAGCAAAAATTTCGCAAAAAAAAAATTAATTCTAGACAAAAAAACTACGTGAATTGATTCAGAAATTCACGATCCATTGACCTTAGGGAGCGTACTATAAATGAAAAAGGAAGTGGAGGTAAGAATCAGTTCTTGCTTTCTCTAGGCTCCGGAAAGGGGAGCCTGGAGGAAGGATCCGACCTGGGTCCGGGTGACCTGGGTCCTGGATCTGGGTGTCCTGGATCCGGGTGACCTGGATCCCGGCGACCTGGGTCCTGGATCCGAGTGTCCTGGATACGGGTGTCCTGGCTCTTGGATCCGGGTGTCCTAGATCTGGGTGACCTGAATCCGGGTGACCTGGATCCGGGTGACCTGAATTCGGATGACCTGGATCCGGTTGACCTGAATTCGGGTGACCTGAATTCGGGTGACCTGAATTCGGGTGACCTGGATCCGGGTGAACTGGGTCCGGGTGACCCGGAATAAGAAAGAACTAAAGAGATTGATCTCACCGTTTTTAAAATATGTTTAAATAAATTTTTTGAATATTGAAATGTTTGTTGTGTATTATTTGTGATTGTCAAGAAGGAATCAAAAATGTTTGACGAATACAGAGAGACTGATAAATATGTGGTTTTTTTTTAAATTTGGTGTTTCCAGAAAAAAAAATTGGCTTATGACATTAAAATTAAGTTCGTTTTCTGAATATTGAACTATGTACTTGATTAATTAAGTACATTTGGAGTTCGAAGCTTTGTACATTACAAAAAATAGTACATTACAAAAACAAAACTTTTGAGATTTTAACCGAAAAATTATTTCAGGTTAAGGAAAAATCTAAGTTTTTCTCCCACTGTCTTCTAAGTTCTTCTATTAAAACCACCTGTGATGTTTTAATATGAAAAGAGTTTTATCATCATCTAAAATCTAATTGGAACAAAAATTTTCAGATTTATTTTTCATCGCCAGAAAAAAGACAGGCCGAAGAGACGTACAGAACAAGAGAGAAGAAAGTAATTTTGAAAGTTATTGAAAAAAAGACAAAAGTTGTATATCAATCCAGAGGCAGTTTACTTTGCCCACGCGGCCTTCTCCTTCTTCTCGGTGTCTTCCTCGTCCAATGCGAATTCGTTCTTGTCGACCACTTTGAGTTGAGCACGGAAATCCACCTTTGTCGCCTCCTTTTTCTTCAATTTGTCGAATTTTCCTTCGGTCTTGGACACCTTCTTCAGGGTTGGCTTGACGCTGAAAACAAAAGAAGGATTTTAAATTTTTGATAGAATTTGTAGAAGTTTAGGGAACTCAAATTTTCGATTCTAGTTTTGAATTTTCTAAATTTCCAAGAACTCGAAAATTCGCGATACTTATGGATTAACTCTCTGTTTGAGTCAGTCTAGAAAATCAGAATTGAAACTTTAATTTTGAAACGATTTGAAGTGACAATCCAATAAATCAATCACATTAAGTTTTAATTTTGAAACTGAGGAAAAAATCAAAAGTCTAGAAAAGCATGGTCTGATTGGAAATCTTTTGTTTTTTTCTGTTTTGAGCTCAAAGTAAACCGAATAAAGTATTATTTAAATACGCTAAGTAATTGTCTACTGTTTTTTAAACCAGACTTCTCTGTTATTACAAAGAATGTTGAATTTTCGGAACCTTGGTCAGTGATGGAGGCGGACGAAAAATTAAATTCTGTAATTGTCATTGAAAAAGCAACAAATTGATCATACAAATGTCTTATTTGGTCATAACCAACTTTTGAACTTCTTCGACAATTCTTCAATTCTTCTGAATCTTTTTTATAATCTTTTTTCTCATCTAATTTACTAAAGATTTCTATAAAAAATGATTTTTGTTTTTTTGTTGTAAATTATTTGAAAAATCACAGTTTCATTCTAAACATTTCAACAGCTAACCTCATTGATCGACTGATTTGACTGTTATAATTTTTTGAGTTACACGCTGTCTGTCAACTTGGAACTACCTAATATTTTTCTTGGATCCTGTGAGAGATATAAAAAATGGTTAACTGATTGTCATAATCTCACAAGCGTTTTATCCGTTAACATCTTTTGCCATCTCTCTCAGAAATGAATAGAATCAAAATAATGATGTCCTCTCCCGAGCTGAAAAACATGTCATCCGAAAAAATTTTCGGTTACACTAACTGTAAGCGAAGAGCGATGTTCTGTCGGGGTTATTCGAATGTATTTTCTATATAACAATTTTTTCGTATTCCCAAAAAAAACACTCACAATTTTCCGCGAAGATCGTTGACAGCAATTGTCAACTCATTGATCTCGAAATCCTTCTGACGAACGATGTAGCTGACGTCGTAGTTCTCGGATTCAAGCTCGATGAGTCTCTCGCGGATCTCTTCGTAGACGGCTTCGAGGTCATCTGAAAGATTTTCAAATGTGGAAGGAAGTAAAAACGTATTAAATTTAGATGTTCATAGTCTGGTTGAATGATACAAGTGAAACAGAAAACTTTGGTTCTTTGGAGATTGGGTTGATAGAACAAGGGTTTCGAGGAATACCAAGGAGAGACAAAGGAGTGAAACTGATATGTGTTTAAGAACTTTTAGACATTGCAGAAACAATAAACATTAACGTAGCGTTTCAAAACTGTATTCTTTCAAAGATGGCTTTGATGAGAAAGTGCAAAGAAACAAATAATAAATTCGAGCGGTTTTATGTGAAACGAAAATTAGGTAGTTTTTGGAAACAATTTACGTCGTTTCATAAATCCGGATGAAATAGAGTAAACAGTTTCTCTCACACTTAAGGTACTCAATATTATAAAAACATTTCATATACCCTCTCTGACTCGCTCACCCTCATTATCCAAATCTGGCAATGGAATGATTCTCTCCTGAAGGATACGCTGTCTCTCTTGCTCCTTGAGCATCTGTTGTTGCTTCAAATCCTCGGCGGCCTTCATCATCAAAAGCTTACGAAGCTTCTTCTTTCTCTCTGGCGTCAAGAATCCCTTCTTGGCCTTTTTCATTCTGGAAGCCTCTTCGAGACGCTTACGCACCTCTTCCTTCTTGCGCTCGCGCTCCGCCATTTTGCGCGCCTGGAATTTTGGAATTTAGGATAATCCGGAATTACCGTACTTGTCCTTTGAGCCCATGTTAATCACCTCAGTTCCTGTAAGAGATATCAAACATCTATAGACGGATAAAATGCTTTTCATTGTATCAACAATTTTTTATCAGTTTACAAATCGTTGATATCATTCACAGAAATTGAGAAAACTGAGCTCAAAGTGTGCATGAAAACGGGTGGCATTCTATCAAAGAATTTACTGTACAAGACTAATTGAAATATTTGAATGGGTTTTGAACTTATAGAATAACTGAAACTGAAGCAAACTTAATAAACCAAAAATTAGGGAAGTGTGAAAAACAATTTTCTCAGTTTCATGCTGTCTCCTTGTTCATACCCATTTTTACTATCTGTGTAATGGCGGAAAAATATCAGTTTTCAAGATTTTGTGTCTCGAAAATTCGATGTTACAAATCCATTTTAAATTTATCAGTACTTGGATTATAAGATTTTGTTTGGGCATTGGCCAATTTTACATTTTTTAATTGAGGATCCCTTTTGTTATCAGTCAAATCGAAAAACGAATTTTTTCGAAAAAATAGGTGTTCAAAAAAAAATCCAGGCTCTGTTTCTGTGTGGTATTATCTAAGCGGTGATATATTAGCTTTGTTCCTGTATTGAAGCGCTTTTAATTCTAAAATTCTGTTTGGTAACTCAAAGTATGTCATTTCTTTTGGGCTTGCTTCCTAGAACCGTTTGGATTACTGTAGGTACCGAAATCTTGAAATTTCTCAACAGAAGAAAACTGAAAATGAACTCAAAAAACTCAAAATCAACACTACTCACTTCTGCGTCCATATGTGGTGGATATGGCTGTAATTCTTTTGAAAAACTAGAAATTTTTAAAACAAGAAAACTTATCAGTGTTTTTTTTCGAATTCACAAATTTCTAATAACTTTTCAGTTTCAGTAAGTTTTGAAATTTCTATAAAATTTTTCAGTAGTGTTAATTGACTTCTGATGAAAGAAAAAATGTAAATGCAAAATCATTCAGACTCACCTCATCAGCATCAACGTCGCTCATGTTTAATAACTGAAAAATGACAAAATTTAGGTTAATTTTTTTAGGAAAATGAGATCGTTTGAACGTAGGACCAATAAAAATCGAGAATACAGTAAACGAAAAAGTAACAAATTCGAAACAGTAAAACTTTGAAAAGAAGGCAAAGAAAAGAGAAATGGGGTTGTAAAAATTGCCAAGAGAGCTGGTGGTGGGGGATTTTTTGGATTTTCTTTTCTCCCCTGACAAAAGTGAATTGCCTTCGGGAGCCCCGTAAGTGTGTCTTTGTGGTAGAAATGAGAGAGTATAGCGATCGAAGACACGCAGATATTTGCGAAAGGAGCTCCCGCCAAGAGATCCCCGGGAGCCCTCTCTTCCTCCTACTCTTCAACTACAGTATCAGTGAGAGAGTATGGGGTGAGGGGAGACGCAGACAATTCACGGAATAGGAGGGAGCGAGGGAGTGCTTGAGAATATCCACGGGTTTCGGGGGGAAAAGTTGCAGGAGGAGAGATGGTTGGGAACTTTGGAAGTTTCGAGAACTCGGTTCTAAGGGATTTTGACAAATTTGGTCGAAATTCGAGCTGAATATTCTTTTACGATTCTTCCAAAAACTGAAAATTGCTTACCTAAAAGAAACCTACCCAAGCCGTCAGCTTTGAGCTCAATTATCTCTACTACTACTATGAAAGATAACAAAAATTGGTCAACTAATAAATCATTCATCTCAATGTAAATGTCACCAACATTTTATCAATTGAAAAATTTTAATACCTCTTATGGGAATCGAGACATTTGAGCTCAAATTTGGGTGAGCTTCTATCAGAACAAATACTGTAATTTACTTTTCGCTGTAATTTTCTAAAACCTGATAAATTAGTTGAAGCGACCTACAGTATGAAATTTTGAATTACCATTTACTTTTTAAAGGTTTTAATAAACTCATGTCTACCGTAAGGAGTTGCACACTGCCCGTCAACTTTATGCTCAATTATCTCAACTTTTGTTAAAGATATCCGAAATTCGCAAACTATAAAAATGTTGATGTTGTCATGATAAACGTTTTGTCAGTAGACACATTTTTGAAATCTTTCAAATAAAATGAGGTATAGTGGCTCAAATTGGGTGGTCTATCGGAAAAAACTTGATCGACGAAAAAACTGATTATAAGCTCTATAGAGCCCTATTTCTGTTGTTTCTGAATCAGAAATTTTTTCCAGATCCAAAAAAAGTTTCAACCAATGATTACTACCTAGAAGTTACTCAAGTAGTGATAACCCTCGCCGCAAATAATCAGAGGAAAGATAATCGTCGCTTTTGTTTGACTACTACTGTAGGAATCCGGCTCTTTTTTCGTTTTCTCTCGTTGCTCTGTGATCATTATTTTCTCAATATATATATCTGACGGACGGCACAAAAAGAGAGAGAGAGAGAGACGAAGAGATTTGAAGAAACAAAGAAGGAAAGGAATGATGGTTGGCGCGGGGGTGGAAAAGTACTTATCATGGTTTGGGTCTTGGGATGGGAAAGAAAAGAAGAAAGGTGACTTGGGTTAAAAGAACTGACTGATAGTGAGAATGATGTGACAAGAAGGTACGTCGAGACGGAGTGGGATCAATATTGGCTGGACAGATGTCATAGAATGGGTAATGAAAAACCCATACTTGTGAAGGGCCGGGCCGGACCCACAAACAAATTTCACCGGCCCGGCCCGGCCCGGAGGCCCGGTCGGCCCCGTCGGCCCGGAAGTTTACCGCGAACTTGAAAATCTTGAGCGAAAAGTTGAATCATTGTTTCGAAAAAAGGTATTCAGTGTTTTTTTCTTCGAGTTATTTTTCAATACATTCTAAAAATCAATAAATTCATTTTCAAAAACAAAAACAGCATGATATCATAACAATTTTCAAATATAACAAAAAGAAAACATAACAAGTAAAGTAAGGTTGAAAATTCAATTAGTTTTCAAATCATCAACCCAATCGGGATTTTTCGAAGCGATTTGACTACCGACAACGATCTTTTCAACGGTTTCAGTGCGTAAACGTGTTCGACGTTTGTCCAAAAGAAATGCAGCTGTCGAGAAGGTTGTCTCACAAACCGACTCACTAGGCACGATTGACAGCACTTTTGTTGCAACTGTATATAAGGCCGGATAATCGAGACGTTTACGGCTCCAATATTCTTCGATCTTCTCGCTACTTTTCACGTTGAAACTTTCGTCGAGATATCTGCAAGCGAATTAGTTTTAATTAGATGGGAGCGAAAAATCACCTTTTCAGTTCTTACTTGAAAATCGATTGAGTAGGTCAGAAGTGGTTTCAAGATGTGGAGAACTGCATTGACGTGTTCAGGATGATCGTTAAGCCAATACATTGATGTTCTGCCTTTCAGAGACAATTTCGACACTAAATCAAGAATTTCTTTGCTCAGTTCTGTAACATCCACAAGACATTTGAGTCCATTCAGCCAGCGAGTATCGTTTGGCAGTGTGGGTAGACGTGACATCTCCGAACACGCTTGGAAGTTGTTTCTAATGGCCGAAGAGACGTTTTGGGCATTGTCGAGACATTCTCTTGCGATCGGAAGCAGTTTCATAATTTCCGGGTCCAACGTCTTCGCATGTTTTTCCAACGGGTCAACGACTTTTTCACCCAGAAGATGGATGGAGTGGCTCACGCATCGAATATCTGAAGGTTTTTTGGTTCACTAAAGAACAAGAAAGGAATGAACTTACAAGACGAAAAATGTGTACCTAAATTTGCTAATGCACCGTCGGCAGTAATGGAACAAGCCCTCGCTTCTTCTTCCGACCAGCCAACTGATTGAATCGATCGATAATTGCATCGGCAGTGTCTGCTCCGGTTTTACTATCTGCACTAGGAATAAATCCGATAGGCAACAGTCTTAGCTTGAATGTGTCGTCGATGTACGAAGCAAACATGGATAGGTAGTTCGAAACAATTTTTCCATGATCAACGATCAAATTAACTCGTTGTTTTCCAGCGTACGGCTTTAGTTCACCAAAAGCTCGTTTGATAAGTTCATCGGAAAATTTCAATGTATGTGTTTGGATCGTTTGGCGATGAGGGATTTGAGCTTTGGCTTCCTTTCCGAATATTCCACTGCCAGTGGCGTTCGCTACATCAATAACAAGATCTCTCATACAATCTCCGCCCATGTAATTGAAAGATTTTCCCGTTCTCAACGCATGCTTGGCAAGTGCGCGAGTAATTTTCGATGTTTGCTCTTTTGTGAACTGTCGCTTCGAAAAATCTGAACCAATGTTTGAAAATATGTATCTTTTGTTTCTTGTACCTGTCAATTTTCGTTGCTTAGCCAACGGTTCAACTGATCGGAGCGATTCATCACTTTTTTCCGGAATGGGTTCGCTGGCAGCTCTTTTACTAGTGCATCGATCCAAATGCCGAAAAACGTGACCACCGTCTGTTGCGGACAACAAAGTTTTGCATTGGGTACACAACGCTCTTCCTGAGGCACAGTATTCGTCACTCTCCACTGATTTGATCATAATCTGCTTGACTAATTCAGATTTGAACTCTTCTCCCTAGAAACATTAGTTGGTTTGGAACAATATTTCACGAAAAGCTCACCAAAACGGCTTCATCTCCATCACTTTCCAGGAGCTTCAGAAGCTTTCGATCGGCTTCCGTCTTCTTACGGTTCATTTCGATTGTTCGGAAGAATAATGGCTATGAAGATGCGCTCGAGGTGTGGGACTGACTTTTTTCGAGAATTCAAAACAATTTTTGTGTATGGAGGATGGGCCAATGACGTGCGCTTTTCACAAAGTTTATCCAAGTTTTTTGAGGGAGAGACGATGCGCTCGAGGCGTGGAAGTTTCTACAATTATCAGTTTTAATTAATTTGATGACAAAATAGAGCAAACAATCGAGAAAACTGGAAGAAAATGCGAAAAACATTGAAAAAACACAAGAAAATCAAAAAAAAAATGTTTTAAATACGATGCTCCGAAATTCCGCATTCGCGTTGTTTATCGCTTTGACAAAAATGGCGGCTGTTTAAATTCATTTTTCAAAAATTGTGTTTTTTTTCTGCCGGGCCGCCGGTCCGGGCCGGGCCCTGAAAATTTTCTCTCGGGCCGCCGGGCCGAACCGGGCCGGGCCGAAATTTCACAAGTATGGTAAAACCGAAAAAAAATTTACAGACATAATTCTTGGGTATATTCATTTGCAAGAGAGCATCTGGAAAATTTTATGCCGGAAAAATTCTGGATTCGGGAGAAGTGTAATTTTGGTTTAGTCGTGGCCATCGAGGATTCTCTTCCACAGTTTTGTTTTGTACCGGAATAATAGTGCTAACTGAAAATTATTTTACAGTTTCAGTGTTTTGTTTTTGGGAAAACGTTTGATCAAGATTCTATTGCTTTGATCTGCGTTTCTTTAACGTTCTCAAATGGTTCCTCGATTTTTATGAATGGTAAATATGTATTAAAGACTCAGCCACGATTATTCAGGTACCAAGAAATTCGCAAAGTCTTATCCACCGAGCGCCCATCGTTCACATTTTCTACAGAAAATCTAGTTCATCCTCTCGAAATTCTTTGATAACAACAAACCTGATGACGTTATCTTAATTAACATATTTTTGTTATTTAATCTAACAGTCATGGTCTAATGAGCATCAAATGTTGAATTCCGATAGCTGACACGATGTTTGTAGGTTTACAGACATCTTTCAGAATTCAAAATTCGTGAATTCAAATAAAATTATTAAACAGTAGTGAATATTTTAATGTAACTGCTCTACGTTGCTCTACGTATCTTCCATAGAAATTCATGCAATCTCAAATGTGTGTACTTTTCGCGATTCTATGGCAATTAAAAACGTTCATGAAAAAATCCTGTTTCATTCATGACACAACTTTCAAATGTAATCTTTAATATATTATCATAAACAAGGTAAGTTGCTTTGTGTATCTTCCATAGAAATCTCAAAATTGTGTTTCGATTTGATTTCCGAGTACTCCCTGAAGTTTGATTTCTCAACTTCCATCGCCATAGATATTCAAAAGCTAGCATTCAGCATGGAAAGATACTCAAATCCTATTGATGTGCAATCCTCTTCGTCATTAGTCTTCTAGTCAATGTCTATTCAAAAAGAGTCCAATTGCTAATCCCTATTGTTTCCACATCACATGATTATAGACGGTTAGTCAGTCACATGTATTCTTCCGATCCTTTTTTGGAGAAAATTTTAATTAAGTTTTGCCTTTGTATTGCATTACTGAAACATTAAAAATAGAAAAAAATAATTTGATTTTCTTTCCAATCTAAAAATTTTGTGTGGTTTACGTTCTGCTTTTCGAATTTTCTGACAAATATTTTTCTTGTTCTTGTTTTTCCTTTTTCTCTTTTAACCAAATCAGAAATAATATCTGCCTAACAACTTCTATCATCTAATTACATGTTAACTCTTGAATTTCGTACTAAATTCTAAAATCCCTTTCCCCTTCTTCCTCTTCTTCTTTGAATTCTTCTTCTTCTTCATCGTCTTCTTTTCCGTTACCTAGGATACTCTTGAAGTTTTCATCCACATACCCTCTTCTCTCTCTTTTCACTTCGTCACATTGCCTTTTTCATCTGTTTTCTCCTTGTTTATCACTGGGGGCCACCTATATTCATAAACATAGCGAGTAAAAAGATAAAGGTAAGTGAGATTGAGTTATTCACAAAAAAAATAAAGAACAATTTCTTTCCGTTTTTGTTGTTTCCGGGTTTTCTATTGAGCTTTCGGCTCTTTTCTAGTTTAGAAGTCCCAAAAAAGTTTAGAGGTCCCAAGGAAAAATATATGTCCAAAATTTGAAAACGCGCGGATGTTGGAAAAACCACTTTCTATTGTTTCTACTGAGTTTTCTTTATACTGTGAGAAGAAGAGGTACAAGTGTTTATTTTTTTTTTTTTTAATTTCTTGCTTGAAAGTTTTGATTTGTTGTCTCGGACAGAGCAGTATTTTCATGTGGAATTGCTGAATTTGGAAACTATTTGAAAAATGAACTTTTTGAAACGTTTTTTAGAGCAAAGATGCACTGCCTCGAAAACTTTTGAGCGAATCTTTGGAATTTTCTAAAATGTTTTTTTTTTTGAACTCCCGGCTGAAAATCAGGCTACCTCTGGAAAAACGCTAAAAATTAATTCAAAAACTTTGCGATTTTGTCCTATTTTGAAGCAATTTTTAGAGACCAGTCGATTTCCGCCCCCTGTCGGCGGCTACAATCTCCTGGCTTCACTAAAAACGTTTGAATCTCCAAATCGGAGAGAATCAGAAGAGGAAGTTTTAGTTGATTGTGTTGTCAACTTTCATAAACTGGAGTGACAGTCTGCTTATGCGCATTCGGGGCTAAACCTTCTGGCTCCCGCTTACAACAGCCTTAACCGATAGAGTTTAGGCTTGGACAGATAAATCAGAAATGTAGATCAGAAATGTGTTTTAGTTGATACACGAACTGTTCAAAATTTCCAAATTTTTAGAACTAATAATTTTCCTTTGAATTCCCGAATATCTTGAAATTTGACAACTTATAATTTTTTTCAGAAGTTTCGAAATCCAGGAGTCCTGAATTTCCGGAACTGCGATTCTAGAACTCAAATATTTTTCTATTAAAATACTTCATTTCAGAACTCATAGTTTCTGAAATTTCGTATTTCCGACTTTCTGAGATTCTACTTCACAAATTCCCAACATTAAAAATTTTAACACGAATCAGATTTTCAGAATTTTCTCTAAAACACATTTCTGAGTTTTTGATTCACAAAGTTTATGAATTTCCGAATTTTCTAAATTCCCAACTTGGGCTTTCTGATATTTTGAACTTCTTAGTTTCTGGTTTTTCTGGTTTTTTGCTTTCGAGATTTTGGATTTTCAAAATTTCGAGTGTTCTAACTTTCAAATTTTTTAATTTCGTAATATTCCGAATATCTGAATTTTTATATTTCTGGATTTCCGAAACATTGGACATTTGAATTCTCTGATTTTCAAACTTCAAAATTTCCGAAGTTTCAAATCTCGGTATTTTCGAGTTCCCGTTTTTCCAATTTTCCAAATTTTTGAATTAGAATTTTAGAATTTCAGAGTGAAACCAAAATGTTTGAAGCATAGGAATGGTTAGAAATTTCGCATTTTCGAAAAAAAATAATCAAATTTCGTGAATCAGAATCTCCGAAATTCAGTTTTTGAGAAGTTAGGGGATTCAGAAAGTCAGAATTTTAAAGTTTACTGAACTTTTTCGTTCTCTCTTTTTTCAAAACTAAGACTAAATAATTACTTTCACAAAATCACCTTTTTGTCAGATATAGTGTGGATAAGAAAAAAAATAGAGTTCGGAAAAAAAATAGAGTTTAATTCGGAATTCCGAAAATTCCGAAAATTCCGACCGGAATTTTTCCGAAGCCTTTTTTTCGGAATTAAAATTTTTTTCGACTACAGTATGCCAGGAAACATTTACCTGCAGGTCTCGAACAGAATAAATCTCGACACAGGAATTCAACACTTGAATTTTTTGAAATCATAGTTCTGTGTATATCAATCTATCCTTTTCTTCGTTCATTTCTGGAATTTTCTTAAAGGCTTTTTTCTCGAGTTCCCGCTTTTGTTTTGAATTCCCGCAAAGGCTGAAAATAAGGTTAAATATGGAAACACGCCTGAAATGAAAAGCCAAAAATGGAAGAAGTTTAAGATTTCTTCTCGCAGTTTAAAGCAATTTTTTGAGATTTTGCAATTTTTATATTTTAAGGGAATATATTGAAAATTTTTGTCGAACTCCCGCTTTGATAAAAATAATACTTTTTAGAGATGACCCTGAATAACCGAACATCGTGTTTTATGTACAGCTAAATTTACAAACTAGTTGAAATGGGGGTTAAGAAATAGAATTCTTAAATGAAAATTTTCAATGTAAAATAATAGCGAAAATTCTTCGGGTTTGCAAAAACAACGAGAAAAAAATCGAAAGCTAAAATAGCTCAAAGAATTGCAGTCGTGAAATTTTGTAAAGATCTGGATGGATTCTTTTCAGTTTCGTCTAAAATGGAGTTTTCTAGGTCATATGTGTTACAGCAAAGGAAAACATTATCTTTTATCTAAACTGTGAGTGCCTAGGTCAATATCACTTTTCAATCGGGTCATTTTTGAATGGAAAATCAGAAACAGCTAAATTCCGTAATTTTTTCAGATTTTCAATGTAAAATTTTACTGTTTCATACATACTAATCATGTTTACAGTAATATGTGTTGCTGTTTATTCTTCTTAACTTGTTTGAAATCTGAAAATCTCATTTTCAGCTGTTCATCCGGAATGTAATTTAAAAGTAACGAGCAAATTAAAAATTACAATTTTTGAGAATCCTAATGTATTCGAGGCCGATATGTTTACATTTTGCCTTTCAACCTCAAAACCTCCTTTTCTAAACAAATCAAATCCATTCAATTTTTGGGTCAATTCAATTAGCATTCCTTTCCCACCACCGCCGTCGCATATTTATGTTTTTTCGACAAAAAAATCCCAAGAAAAATTCCACCTGCTCGCTTTTTTTTCTCGGAGCAAAGTACTCCCTTCTCTCTTTCTCTCTCACCATCTGCTCACTTATTTCTTTCTCCTGACTCCTGAAATAAGAAATCAATGATGTTCTGTTTGGATTCTGGTAGATTACGACAATGTTCAGGAGCTTTTCGAAATCATATACAGGTTCGTGAGGGAGAAAATTAGTAGGTTATACGCTGACGAAAATATTATCTTCGAAGATAAGTCTTCCTGAATTTCTTAAAATCCTGAAACATTAAAAAAATTGATTTCCATTTCAAAGTATATATGAAGTAACCAGGTGAAAATGATAAAAACCTAAAATGATATGTTTTGGACATGAAATTTACAGTGATGCTGTTCTAATTGAAAAGCAGGTGAAAAATTATTCAGAAACATGTCACAAAAAGTTCAAAAAATTATGATTTGTCACCTGTGATTAAGTTTCGAAGCAAGTTTAAGTTTCGAAGTGATTAAGTTTCCAAGCAAAACACACTGTTTATATTCTCGTTGCAAAAGTGCGTTATGAAAAATATACAAAAAAAAGTTACTGTTTCGAACATGTTTGATTACACTAGCTTTTTTTCAATATATTTGATTTAAGCAGTCTTTTTCTATTAAATTTCTCAAAAATTCGAAAACTAAATTTTACTTTTTCAAAACTTTTTCAAGACATTTGAGCTCAATTTGTTTTGTTCCTTCAGGCGTTTCGTTAAAACAACAATTTCGAAGAAATCCGCAAAGTTAGAATTGTACTGCTTCAAGAGGTTTTTAATTTAATCAATTGCTCAACAGAACTGTTCCATTCTGACAGCATTTTTCCGTTTTTTAAGCCATTTATAAGCTGAGAACGATTGAAATTTAGATGGAGTTTCAAAATTTTTCGTAAGATGTTCCTGATCGAAAATGTTGAAATTCCGAGAAATCTCAAAAAAAATCGCTTCAAAAAACAAAAAAAACCTTCTCGCAAACTTGCAGACACCACCTGGAATGTTTTGAGATTCCCGCCGATACAGAAAATTCTATGAGAAAATAAAATTAATGTTTCAAAAAGTTTTTAATTCAAAAATTTTCTCAAAGAAACCGCTCTCTTTGGTTCTTCCTGTTGTCAAAATTTTTAATGGAAGTCTTGTTTTCCCCCAATCGATGACATTGGCAAACCCGAACTAAACAAGGGTCAAACATTAATTCGTTGACATGCTGTCAAATTTTATAATTCTGGAGCAGCAACTATTGAATTCGCTTCCAAAACTTTCTGTTGTAAAGTTTTACAAATTGTTCCTGTTTCAATACAAAGACTTTGGTATTTTATTCTTTGACTACGATTGACTCCAAATAGCGATGAGAAAGTTATAAAAAATATCTAGAGTCCAAGAAAAATTCAATATTTCACGTGTTAGTGGTTTTCTCCCCTTCGTTGAAATAAATAAATAAATAAATCAACTCCTTCTAACAAAATATCATTCGACATAATTAGTTTTTTTTTTTTAAATCAAAGTTCTTTCGTAATTTACAGTTTCAAAATGACCATTTTTAATATCCAATTATGAATCCTTCAGTTCTACCTTTGTTTTCTCCAATAAACCCCTGTTCGAAAACCAAAATGTTCCTTGTAATACATAACTCGATCACATTTTCTCGAAACTTCCCCGAGGATCTTTCTAGGCAAAAAAAAGTACACCTGATTATTGAAATTCTAAATCTCTCACTCTCTCATCTTGCCCATGTATTTTTCAAAAATTTCATCTCATTAGCAGAACTCAGAAAGTTGGAGTTTCTATGTTACGAAAATTTTCGAGATTCCTGAATCATCAAAAGAAGAAATTTTGTTTTGAGGTAGTATGATCATTTGTTGTTTTGAGTTTTCGAATCATATGATCATAGCAGACTTCCTTTAAATTTTCCATTCGAATGAATCTTGAGAAGCTTCCAAACGCGCCTAATCAACATTTTCCAGAAGTTTCTGCTAAGATCTGGCACTTTTACTCTTTTTCTAATCTTGGGAGATATTATTCAAGTATTTCTATATGTTTTCTCTCTCTCTCTCTCTCTCTCTCTCTCTCTCTTTTAATCTTCTCCATCTTTCTCCATCTCCTTGACATTTTTCTTTTCAAATTGTGCACCCGTATATAGGTAGATTAGATGGAAAATGCTCCTGCTACTCGGACTACGACTAGTTTTATCTTCTTTCGTGGTTAAAATTTTTACAGAATATTTCATAAAGTTTACTTGTGTGAATTGCTCGGATTGACAACAATTTTAGGAAGCTAGTATTCAAAACAAGCAGAAACATAGAATATTTTGAATTTTTTGTAATTTGGACTACATATGAGTTGAAAATTCACACCTTTAGGAAATCGAATGAAGATACGCAATTCGAAAATAACCAGTTGGCTACCAACTAACCAACTAACTCACCAAGTAACTTGTATACCTGAAACAGAAAAAGAATTTTTTTGAATTTCCAATTTTCTGAAGGAATGTGGGAAAGATTTTGAAAACTAGATTTCTGAAACTGTACTTTTTTTATTATTAATGTTTTCCCATGTTCAATCAGTCCATTCTCTAGTTGAAATTTCAAAAATCACATTCCCATCACCTATTTTTCATATTCTCACAGTCTTGTGATTTCATCAAATTTCTCTTGGCTACGCCATCTGATTATTGCTTCGTCAACTGGAAGTTCCCCAGAAAGAGTAAATAAGAAGGTCGGTTGCGTAGAAGTCACGGAACCCGAAGTTTCAGGCACATTTATTTTTAAAGGGGGACTCTGATCAAAAGTTGGTATTGCATTAAAAATCGCTTCAAAAGTCCGTTTCTGGAAACTTCTAGAAGGTTCTGGAATCTCTTATTTAAATTCCCTCCACAACCGGATTTTCTTGGTCACCTCTAGAAAAGTGTTGGAAATGAAACCGGAGAATGTTCAGTTTTGGCGGGAATTCAAAAAAAGATTCCAAAACCTTCTAGAAGTTTTCAGAAATTTATGAAGACGGAGTTTTTCAAATTTTGATGCAATCCAAATTTTTGGTCCGAATGCTACTTTAAAACACTTTTATAATCCAATCAAACAAATGATGTATCAGTAAAGACAGTTGTCATGTTATGAATTCGCTTTTTGAAAACGGTAATTTTTTGAAAACCCCCACATGAAATTAGTTTGAAGCCAATTATCTCATAATCAGTACTTATTAAACATGTAATCAATTTTTCCACTAAAAATGGTTGCCCCGTTACTTTAGTCACTACCGTAACCTCTCTAAGCCATCTGATTAATGCTTCGTCAACTGGAAGTTTACCCCAGGAAGAGTGAACAAGAAGGTTATCATTGATTGCGTTATAGTCACTGGACTAGAATTTTGAAGGCAGATTTACTATTCCGTGAAGTTACCAGAATGAGAGAACTGTGACCTCATATCAGAGAAAATGTAAAAACACTTTGAAATCAGTATTTTTTTTTTTGAAAACCCCACACATGATAATATTACTTCGGCTTCAATTATTTCGATCTCTTTTCTAGGGATAAAATATTTTCCATACCGGAATAATCGTTTTATTAATTGACAATTGCTTTATATCTTGAAGCGAAAACCAAGAAAATTGGTATCGAAGTTTACAAATACCGTAAACACTCTAATAGGATGTCCTCTCAAACCATCAATTTCGATCCCATACATCTCATTTCCTATAAAAAATATCAAAAAGTGGTCAACTGACAAAATTTTCATCATAATTTCAAAAATATATCTCAGTTAACCACTTTTTGATATCTATCACAGGAACCGAGATAAGTTGGCTTAATGTTGAGAGTTGTGCATTACAATATGTGGTTATGTATGATTTGTATTTTAAACACAAAAAAAAACATTTTTTTGCATGCATATCCATACACGGAAACCGAGATAATTTGTATTAAAAGCAAACCCTTTGAAAACTCTCTCCACACTCTTTTTTCAGCATTTTCTAGCATTTTTAGCCTAACACATCCCTTCACTTTTCCAGACAATCCTCAGAATGGGGTCAGCCGGTTCGCTAAATCGTGGTCCTATCAGAACGCTGATTCTCGGTTGTATGGGTGCTGGAAAAACGTCTTTCATGCGGCAAATGGTGTACGTCAACGTGCTTTGGACATACAGTTTTTAGTTTGAAAGCTACTATTAGTGTTGAATATGAAACAGAGATTCTTTTTTGATATTTCAAAATTTGATTCTTATTTCAGAAGGTGCCAAAAAAAATCAATCACCAACAACCGCGAGTACTATCTGTACTGCGTGCAATTGAATCTGTTGAATGTATGTTTGAATTCCCTATTTCGAATTTTCCAATTGTTTCTCTCTTTCAGGTCTACAGAGAACTCAGAAACGTTTGCATCAGTTTGGAGATCCAAATCAGTCCTGAACTCGTGAGTTCTTCCTTCTAGAAACTTCTCAAAATCCCAAACATCTTCCAGGATGCAGCATTCACCGAAATCCACGAATACCGTCACAAAGAGAAGTTTCCACAAAAAGTGATCGACGCAATCAGTCTTCTTCGTAACTCTCAACTCTTTGATTTCTGTCGAATGCGTCAACGAATTCTTCAGTTGCCTCAGAACTACAACTACATGATTCAGAGAGCCGACGAGTTCATGCAGGCGGATTATATCCCAAGTGAGAACGACATAATGATGTCCTATTCGCAGACTTGTGGACTAGTACGGGATAAAGTAAAGACGCAGGGATATGACTTTGAGTGAGTTTTGGATTATATAATGGTTGAGTTAAGATTGTATGTTTCAGGCTACTCGAGCTGCCAGGACATCATTTGTGGAGAGCGAAGTGGGCTCAACATTTTGAAGATCCAGATCTTGTAGTGTTTGTCATCGATCTCAGCGAATTATGTGATCCGGCGTTTTATAATGTAAGTTATGTCATCACTGGTTTGACGATGAAACTTGATGCCACAAGAAGACACATCCAAACTGAAATATTTGTAAAAAAAAGGAAGAGCTGAAATACCGTAAACATGTAATAGAAGTGGTCCCATACTGTGAAGTTTGAGCCCACATTTCTCGGTTCCTGTCAAAGTTATGAATGCGTTGTCAACTGATAAATTGTTTTGCATAATCTCACAAACATTTTATCAGTTGACCACTTTTTGATAGCTTTTACAGGAAACGAGATAATTGAGCTCAAAGTTTACACTGTGGGCTTCTACAACAGAGTTTACGGTAGCTGTTGATTAAAGCAGTAAGATTTGAGGAAGACGCTATATTACAGTTAGCAGAAACAGTATTTTTAAAAATCGGATCTTTGCAATATTTATCTTCACCAGCGTAAACATTCTAATAGAATGACTCCTCTCACTTTTACTTTTGTGCCGATTCATCTCGGTTCTTGTGGAAGATACCAAAAATGGTCAACGGACGAAATATTTGTCAGTTGACAACTTTTTGATATTTTTTACAGGGAATGAGATATATGGGTTCAAAATTTACGGTGTGGAATATTTTCTTTAAGAGTGGTAGGGTATTTACGGTACCTCGGTACCTCTCTCCCTCAAAATCGAGACATGTTTTCAGAAAGGCCATCTGGAAAACAAGACAGTCAACGTGTTTACTTCTCTCGTCAGCAACGCGCTGCTTGCAAAAGTCTATTGGCTTCTGATCTTCAACAAAATTGATACATTCAACGATCACTCGGCAGGTTTTGATTTCAAGAAGCTCGCCAATCATCTGGATACTGGAGACAATGCCAAGACATTCTATCGATCTCAATTCACGACACTTCTTCCGAAGAACAAATGCTTCGCTCATATGGTCTCTCTCGTCAATGGTGAGTCGAACAATTTATCATTAGCTGTATTACTGTAGTCTGATGGTGATTTGTCTCCGGAACACGAACGTTATAAACGCAGCGAAAAAGTTATGCGCCTTTAATACCGTAGCGAAAACAGGAACTTTAAAATGTGGTGTGCGGTGAAAAATTTTATTGCTTTATTTTGTGCAGAATTCCATGTAGATCCCCATAAAAATAACGAAAAAATTCAAAAAAAAATTATTCCTT